TGTTCCATTACTCTCTTCAATGCTCTGGCAGGCCATCATTGCACATCGCCCTTCTCCATAATATCATCACAATGATCCTCTCATATTTTTTGTTCAAAAAGTCAGCGACTTTGTCCAAAAGTTACTTGTTTATGCTACCGACTTTGTTACCGAAGTTACCGTCTTTTTGTGCAAAAGTTCAATTACCTGTTTTTGGCCAAAACAGGTAATCGATATCATATAGTAAGCATCTGTGAACATCTGGAATACGTCATGAGTGATATCATGAATTATGATTGTGTGTTACTCTTCACTCTGAGCTAACTTGTCACATCAATCAAGTAAGAGTTTATCTCCGTTTTCCATTACTAACGATAAAACTGAAAATTGTCCCATTTATTGAACAAGAAACTGCATCTTATCGAGTGTTAGCCGAAAATTGCTTTGACTTAACATATCATCGAGTTCTGATGATAACAAAAAAATCGAAAACTCTCGTCATCCTATAATTATTGTAATCGCTCAAGCAGTCTTTCATCTTAATTACACTGTTGGATGTTGTATACGCCATCTAATTGTACTGAAATCCCAACTAAGGCACCTAATAATTAATAGCGGAATTACTGGAAATGAAAAGCAGTAATCACAAATATCAAATGAACAAAAAACTAGATATAGCCAGGTTGGCTTATACCTTTCTTAATTATGGTCTTCGCTGAGTAATTTCAGGTGATGAACCACACCACTAGACATTTATTTATTTATTTATTCAGTGAGAAATCATCAATAGACATCATTTGTTGATGACATAGACTACCCCTCAATGTGATCGAAAATAGCGACATAAGAGACTGAAGAATCAGCAACTTCATGATTGTTTCAGACACGAGCTGCACACAATTATCACCATTGATGTGCTCGAAATGAACTGTGCTAATAGAAGATTGTGACAGCTATCAGATGCCTAATGAAATTCAGATTCTTTGCTGACATCAAATATAACATCTGAAAGAACAAAGAGAATAGGAAGTCATGAGAGTATCAAAAAAGTTATGACATCGTTCCACAATTGAGTTTTTTATTTGCTGACAATACAACTGTTACAGTAGTGATATAACTTGAGTGTCATGAGTAGGTGTAGGTGTGAACAAGTGATCATTTGAATTCAGATATGTGATTTCGATGAGCTGACTTATCATAGCTATACCAAAAAATAGACTTACCGAAGACTTGCAATGGGTACTGCATGCAGATTGTTGATGAAGATGAGAGGTGCAACAAAAATGCACAAAAGACTCAAAAATCGAGATTGCATCAGGACACAACCAGTCTCGGTGGCACAGCACTTTCAGAATGCGACACGCCTAAGGCTTACTGCTGCTTTATGGGACACGAAACGCTTTTGAGAGTGATTTGCGATCCGCCTACTATCAACAAAACATTGCCTTAAACACTTACTGTTTTAGAGAGTCTCCACAACGAAATTAATTATTACGGTCAGGACTGAGTGCACTGAAAGCGGTTAGCACTGAAATTCGATTAATTCAATCGAAATTCACTTTATGAAATACAATAAATGAAATTAAGCGACTTGAATGAATGTCTACAGATGTGATACGCAAAAATTGATTCATCTGCTATCGAAACCAAAAGACTGATTGTGAAAGAGTAACGATGAACGGTTCTTTGATGGAGATGAGGTGTTGATTGGGTACTGTATTGTGACGCGATACTTCCAGTGAACAATTCCTAAATTCTACTACAGTGGATGATGATAATGACCGGTCAAGACAGTCATCTTCGAGCAGAACGGAACAAATATTTCGAAAGAATGAAAAGATCAAGAAACGTCTTCGTTTTTATGGCTAAGGCATCAAGATTTACAGAATCATTATGAGGATTATTGCATAGATATCGAATATGTAGATTGTAGAGGATTGCTGGTCGGAAGAGTGTGAAAAATGTTCATGAGAAAGAAATTATGAGTTAAAGGTTAGATGGAAATATTATCGCGTTGCAATCCTTAAACTTGCAATCTGATACATGTTTGCATGCCTCAATGACACCTAACCTTTTTTTGATAGTTTTTCCTTCACCACACCAACCGTTATGCACTTAAGAACTTTTTCAGACTGCGACCAGTGATAGTGTGACTCGCAGACGATTCTGTCACTGCTGTTTTGAACAACCACCGCAAACAATGAGAATACACCATCAATTTGCACAAATTCTTGTAGCTTTTTTTGGAGAATGTATCCACAACCCCAAACTGCTATTCCTCGAGACATCTAATGTATTTTGACCTATAGTTCATTCGAAATATGAATCTGTGAAAGTATCACTTTCAATAAAACTTACGTGCATCCCAATGTTCAGCTTTCACGACCAACACGAACAATTTTAATAGTCTATTAAAGTTTAAACGAAATCATAGAATGCATCAAAGAATTTATTTGCAAAGGAGTTCCAACATGAATAATTTTTTATTCGCCTGCAACAATGAAATGATCACAATCTATTAAAAACTGTTCATGAATTAGCAACTAAATGCTGACGATTGCGAATGTTTTGAAACTGCCGAGTGAGCAGATGGAATCTATATGAAAAAATTCAGAAAACTTCACAAATATACATATTCGAATAGCAGACTTTCACGTTCACGAAAACATCCAAAAGGAAATAAACAATGACTGTCAAATGAGGGCCAATGTTAAAAAGAATCATCACCTGCACACCCCTTCAAAATACATTCAAAAATTCTGCAGATATTGTCGAGACACGAGACCGTCGAAGTGTGTTGAATGAAGATTGGTGACGGCTTTCGTTAGCATCCAGCAACATCCATCCATTTACACCAGAACGTGCCAGCTTTCCATTTATCACTGCGTATGACGATTTTGAAGGAGACAAACAGAATTTCTACGAAGAACTTTGCTTCTAAATGAATTCTTATCCTGACAGACTCAAATTGTATGTAAAATACCGACGATTCATTTTCGATGCTGAATGAACTACTGATTATCAAAGCAATCTTGTCTTTCGCTCGATAGCATATTTTAACAAATTAATTCACGGTGTGCGTTGGCGTGTGGTTGAAATTTTGCGAAAATGATTTAACTTCATTGTGCGATGATTTAACGGTGAAATTAATTGAAATAACATTTTAAAATGTTTCTAAAGGTGGTATTATTATCTGCAAATAAAATTAAATCTGAATTTGGAAATAACGCAAATAATTTGCAATTATAAGGACGATCGAAGTGATGAGATTGTGGATGCTGGATAATCGAGACGTGTGGAACATCAGAAGAGGACTGATGTAATGCAAATATATAGGAGAATGTGCTTAGAAAATGTGAAGAAAAACGAAGATGGATTACATCTAGACGGATAGGTGCATGAAAAGTAGACGGAGCATACGTTACAAAAGCATCACGAAAAGGATATCACTGAATATTGCTTAAAGAAGATCGTTTCGCACACAGAGGGATAAAATATTGCTCGTATTATAATATTACACTTTCAAAATTATTCGATATATTACAATGGTACTTTTTAAATCTTCATACATCTACGAACATTTTCACGTATAAAAGCAAAACTAACAAATGAATCAAATTAAATTGATAAACATCAGCGTAACAATACATTTAGAATCTTTATTCACGAACAATCTCTTTAAAACTGCGTAAAATTGCAAAAAATTTTGCTATGTTACTGGTTTCACCAATACGATCTCATTATCTAGTCGTAATCAGTTTCACCAATACGATCGTAATCTACTTGATCAAGGTGTGTATTGTTTGCAGGACAATTCTCATTCTATTATGAGATGACTCGAAAAAATTGTGGTGAAAACAACTGACTATTAACTACCGATAAACATAATTTGTGACAGCAACTGGACACGTTTCGATTACGGCGAAAAATGGATGTGGTGAATAGATGAAAGTTGCAGTTTCTGTGTCAATTCATAACCTACTGGCTTCAAACTCAACAATACACACCAAACAAACCAGGTCATACATCAAATATACGCTCGCAACAAATACTAAAACGACCGATCTCGAGCATAAGCTCGAACAAAATGTACAACCAAATGACTCTGAAACAATTCACACTTTACTCACAATCAGTTACTTAATGAAGCGATCCAACTGCGAAAAATCTGATAAATCACACATGAACGAATAAACAATCACACCATAATTGCTCTCTAGTCAGCCTCTTCATAAAATACCTTCAAGTTCTGTTACAGTGATTTTCAAGCGACTTGATTCAGTTACGAAATTATTGAATCACGAACGTAAATTTATTATCATTTCACGAATACTTTAATTATCAAGATAAACTTGCTACAACATTTAGCTCAGTCAAAATGAATTAATTCAGTCCAATCACAGTGAACAGCTAAATGTCGCGATAAAATACTACTTGGAAAAGAGTTCAGCTGCGGTTGACCTCTATGCATAACTGAGCTTTATTGAATCCTTTAATGTAGAATGAAACTTTGTACGATGTCAAATGATTGAGAGGAATGAATCAACGGATCATGATAAAGATAGCGATCAAAATCAATATACAATAATACATCGTTATTGCACCACTCAACGCAAATTATGTATTCAAAATTCGTTTAAGTTCCATGAACGTTCTCAATAAATTAACTGCTCACGACAAAACAAAGCTACTGACGTATCAGTTATTTATTGCACACTATAAACAGCTTGCACGATGGAGATGAACCATCGAGTTGCTGACGGTATTCCGAACCTCGACTAAACAACAAACACGCACGCTCTTACAAAAAGCGCATCTCTGTTGTAATTCGCGCACACATAAACATCTATGACGGATCGACTACATTCAATCAAAAACACCTGGATTCAGTTCAGTATTCGATTCAATTCCCATTCTTACGTACAACAAACATCAACCTCAATTATCCTCAAAATAATCAAATATTGGAAAAATAATAAAATCGATTAGATGAGAAGATGAATAGATAAAAAAGCGAATAATCAATAAGGACGAGATGGAATTTGTGGTCGATCAGGTATCCTTGGCGGTACTCCATTACTCATCGATGGCAACGACTGATTTACCCGCCTGAAACAAAAAATGAAAATATCATATGTGAAAACAGTCCGAGAACAAACCAAAATACGCCGAATAAGACGCACTTAAGGAATATTTCGGGCAGTCAACCATCAACTAGCAATAACTACAACGAATCACATCAAAGACAAACAATCATCCGACTCATTCATTCCATTAACATTTTATGCTCTAATGAACTGTTGCCATAAAGTCTACTGCAAAATATCACCGATAAAAACAACACCAAACAAATCACTGAGCTCAATGAAACTCATATTGAAGTTTGAAACTAAAACGAGAACCCCATTCAGAGAATTTTTTCCCTAAAAAAAATACATATGATTTTGTTGGAGGAGTTGATTTTTTGCCGGGTTCAAGAATCTAAAGAATTACTCAGAATCAGATCTAAATTCGCGAATGACTTCTACTAAACATACGAACATCCACAAATCAAAGCATTCAAATAAACATTCTATTCAACTATTCAACCACATGCATTAAACATAACCACACAAAAACCGTAAATAAAAACTAGAAAAATAATTTTCTTCCAAATATGTACATATATTAACAATTACAATGACAACAGCGGTGATACTGATTTAAAAATCAACCATTTTTTTTACCATTTGCGAGATCCTTATTTGGGACGCCTGAGATGAGAGGAGAAATTAGTGTCGACGTGGGAGTTTAGCACAAATGGCCGAAAGAGAAAAGTTCAAACTGATTTGGCAGAGCAAAAATTTTGAAAAACCAATTTTGGATGAAAAATTTTTCAGCACGAAATACATTTTCTGAGTGAGAATTCTTAATGGAAAAACGATGAATACCATATGAAAGGGTTGGAAAGCAATACTGTGATAGTGAACAATAAGCACAGAAACTGATTTAAATATACTTTTCTGCATATTTCATTCAGATGAATTTTCAAAATAAATAGGAAATCGAGTATTGCCCAGTGCTAAAAAGCTTACTCATATTTGAAATGAAAGATAAAAGATATTAATAGTCTGACGATACCTGAACTCTTCAATACCGACCAAATGAAACTCAAACAATTAATATAAATATTCGATGATTATGAACCTCATAGAACTAGTTTCGAGAGGGCGATAATAATCCGATTTATGCATGTATATTAATTATGACTGCGCATTATAAGTTGTAATTCAGGACGTTTGCAGAAAAGAGAACGACTAACATTGGAAGGATTGGAGCTGGGAGAACACCACCAGGAGGACCAGGAAGTGGGCGATTAGCGATTGAGTTCGGACCCATGCTCATCGGACGCGGAGGTGCCGGTGCTGGTCGTTGACTACTGATCGGTGGTTGTGGCGCTGGTCTTGGCACCGGAGATGGACCGTTCGATCTGAATTTTTGGTGCAACGAATAGCTGACGCGACATGCAATTCAACAATATAAACACTTCGCTCTAACATTATTGAAGAATGTTAGGGCAAAATGAGAATTTCAACAGGAAGAGTGCAAAGTGAGCGCACAAAATAAAACTCTACCTGAGCCAATCATTGCTGACAGCCGGTGGTGGTTCCGTGGTGACAGTGCTCATGTTCACTTCACCGATGATGCGAAGCGCTTCTTTACAAGCGTGATACATCCTTAACATCTCTTCACGCTTTTGTGCTTCCAGTTGACTTTCTTCCATCATTGAATCCTAACAATACAATTACTCAGTTATCGCGCCAATAAAACTAGTGCACAATACAATTACGATAAACTGCCATTATGTCATGTCATATAATTCAACTTGCTGATGATTTAATAACAAAACTTCACGTGGAATATCACCTTCACGTGAAGGTATGAAATGCAATTTCAAACATCAAAATCACGTCCTTCACACACAAAAAATAACGACTGATTGTGTCGCATGATTTTTGTGTCAATTGTTGAATAAGCTGATTGAGATGTGGGCGCAGAACAGGATACGCTTTTCTCTGCTGGACTGAAAATCTCTTATGTCCGAATCTCTCATGGTGAAATTCGAAACGTGTGTTCCACAAATCACGCTTTCATTTTGTCAATTTGAGACAGTGTATCCACGAAAAAACTCGTATCTCAATCAGCTCGTTCAAGGTTTAGCGCTATGTCACAGAAAAACGGTCATCGCGCAAATAGCCGCCAGTGATTTTTTTTGCTATGCCACACGACTGTCGATTCCATGGAAACATGATTACAATTTGGAGTAAGCAGTACTTATTCACACTGTACGCAAATATTGATCCTAATCAGTTCGTCACTCAAGCGACCTAGAATTTGCTTGGTGACTTTACCTGCTCTCTAAGAATTACGTTACTGAGAAATATTCCGAGGCTGAAGCAATCAGAGCTTATTATTTCAATGGAATAAGACAAAGAAAACGCGACTAAAATATTCACGAACATAGAATAAACATACCGTATCGCCCACTTGATAGAGATTCGCAAGCAATTCACCGTCACGAAGAAACTCACTCACCTCAAATCAATTTTCAGATGCTTTCATATTTTGTTCGGGGAACTTTTCAGTTTGGTAGGATATATCATATTTTATTTATTAGAGAAGTGATGATCAGAAGAATATATCGAACAAAAGAAAGAGAATAAAGAAAAACAAACGAATACTTTATTAACGATGAGGAACATGATCGCTTTAGGTACAAGATCTCGAATTGTTTTCGTAACGATACGCATATAAGAATCGACCAAGTTACGGATCGTTTCAACCTGTCTTTCCAGCTGAGGATCAACCGACGTCGTCTCTTCAATATCGCGTCCGTTCTGCAGGCATTTTCAAACATTATTTACTTCACTTCACTTCAGTATATTCAATGATTATTCTGAACAATTGCTTATGATGATAGAAGTTATAACTCAAGAAAGGCTTTGAATTATTAGTGAACGGTGCTCAAACGCAGAAGAATTGACAATGAATTATTGAAAAGCAGTCTCAAATTGGTGGCATTCAGAGCAGAAAAATAGAAGGCGAGTAAAGACAGGAGAGAAAACTCAACTGATCTCTGTTATATTGAATTAGAATAAGTCCTATAACCAAACAAGTAACGAAAACTCTTAGCGAAACAACAGTTTTGAGGCTTACGAAGATAAGAGGCATTGTATTAAATTCAGATCATAACATTCCCAGAAATGAGATAGATTTAAGCAAGAATACAATACGCAATGTAATTATCATGTAATTTGGTCTGAAAAGAACACAACAACAAAAAACAAAAACTAGAAATGGTCAAATGAAGAAAACGGTTGAGTCCAGCCACAAGAACGAATGTAAACAACCACTTAACAGACGTAATTATTTTTTCAAAAAAGGAAAACTTCAAACCATTCATATATTACATTTAATCACTTACTTCCTGCAACAGTAACAATTCATTACTCCTCAGATCACAGCACAAATAAACAAAAAGTTGTCATCACTGAACACTTCTTTGCAAGAAAATATTTAGTTTTTTACCAAAACAAACGCAAAATGGCAACTCTAGATACCCTTCGCGTCGTTTTGTTTAACATTTATTGACATATAAATGTCAGCTGTCAGATGCTGGTGCACAATAAGCGAAATAACAACTGTATGATGCACAAATACAATGCATTTGAGTACCGTAAATGAATGAAACAAATAATTTATTATCAATACAAAAACTTTCGTCTGAAGTGTAAATGAAATGAACAGCTGTAGAATAATTTCTGATCCATTCTCTCCATCACAAACGAGTGATTAACATAAAAGTTATTGAGAGAATGAAATGAAAAAGAAAACGAACCTCTAAATCATCGAATGTCTTCTCCTTCTCCGGATAGACACCGGCTCGTAGGAACGATGCTTTCCATGCGTCAACTTCATCCAAATTGTTCGCGCTCAATTCGAGTTGTTTGTAATCCTTGTAAATATTCCTGACAAAACGAAAACTTTCATTGATGAACGTTACATATCTGTTCATGATACATCACATGCATCATTAACAACATTTTCATACTAAATAAATGACCACAGAAAACTTGGCCAGTCGTTCATTAATTAGCTACATCAATTCTATGCTTTGTCTCATCATAAAACACTCAAAATACTCATATTACGACTGAATGACACGAGGAACTAAGCATCCTCAACGACAATTCCTTCCCATACTTCTGAATGAATCAGAGGCGATTCGTTTAATGGATTCGAATCGGAAAGAAAAAATCACCAGAAAATGCGAACAAAAATTGTACGGGCAGCTATCTGGCTATTTTAGTTGTGAATTACATGGTACAGTGAATGATGTTCACAAGTAATATTTTAAAAAAGAAGCCACATGGGAATACATTCAATAGAACACAAAAAACCGCAACTGAGACGAACATTGATTTCGAGCAAACATACTAAATCGCAAGTGTAACACAAGAAACAACAGAATAAGAAACGACACTGAGCAACTAAAACAAAATCCAACAATGCAATAAGATCATGACTACCACATCAGATCGAATATAATGAGGCGTGCGAAACAATCAACTGATATGCTTTGTTCAAATTAACTGAAATATTAGGGAAGAGTTTGATAAGGACTGATAACAGAAGCGTTCACGTGTTTATTGGTGATAAAAACAAAATAAGCATAAAACACATCCAACGAACGAATTACAATACAAAACATGCTATTGGTTTGAATCAACTAATTGCAAGTATGATAACAAAATACACTGAGGTGATGCATTCACGATGACAACATACGATTAGAGTGATGAGTGTTTGTAACAGAGCAGTTATGGCTTACTTTCTGTAATTTGTAATTAGCAATAATTAGTTCACTCTGGTTACAGATAACATGTCGCACAATAATCATACAGCTGCACTGCACTTCGTGTGGAAAGCTTATCATATTAATACAACGCAAATGAAGTACTCTTTCAACAGCACTAAAGCCGTAACTCTCAAAAGTTTCGACGCAAATAAGAATTTGAGATCATTGCTTCTGACGATTCCTCCAAACAAAATTGTCGGTGAGTAATTCACTATACAACACAACGATGAGTAATTAATTCACTATTTAACAACGAAAAAGTTTCACCCTTTTTATGTTTACATTTTGCGTTCTCAACCAAAACATTTGAACAATGAACATTAATTAGTGCATCTTTCTTACAACTAGTTAGTTGGTCACGTTCACCAAAATCACATTCTATAGGAGACAGTCAAAAGAAGGTACTTCATTGATAAGATATAAACAACGGACGTGAAAAGAAATTAGTGAAGCAGCTATGAGAGTGGGATAAGCAGACCAGATGAGTGTATTAAAGCGACCATATACATTTCAACAGACAGTAAAGATAGCAAGCACGAAGCTTATTTGATACTTGATACCTTCTGTCACTGTCTCATTGTTTGTCATTCCCAAATCACTAGATGCTGGTGTGCACCAAAAAGGATGAAAATATTTTTGTGATAATAAATCATATCAATTGAAATTTCAGTGAAGTGAATATTTTTGAAGTGATTGGCCGGTAATTATGATACATTCAAATGCAATAAGGGTGCTTACGTGCTGAAATAAAAATCTTTTTCAGTGACTTTATTGATTCATTTGTATGATTAAAAGTTCTTTTCATGGTTTTTGACATAGCCGACTTTTTTGCATCAGTTTTCAACGTTCATTTCAACTCGGTCTAACCAATTCATTAGAATGTAGCTCTTTCAGAAATTTGTCTTATTAGTGGATATGTTTGTCCTATATAGCGGATATGTCTTATTGTTAGCGGAAATCAATCCTATATTAGATGAACCCTTCAAAAATATGTTGATTTGTTTCATGTGATTTTCGTCCATAAAGCAAACAATCAAACTCGTGAACATTTAAATGGAAGTATTTCGAGAGATACTGAGAGTGATCACTCATCCAGTGAATCTTCCCATCTTCAGCCACAGTTTCATCTAATCGTAATTTATCACAAACTGAGGGAGACCAGACCCACTATGTAGGCATTTTCATCACTGTTCCAAAATGAATCTCATCCACAAGAAATAAGCATTGTGGGTTGGGTTTTGTACTAACAGCAAATCGAACTTCAACGAATCAAATGAAGTCAAGCGCAATCCAGATCGCTAATATGCATGGTGTTTAAATACTGCTAACTGACAAAAAGCGAGGGGTGATTTCAAAAACAGTGACAAAAGCAACGAGGATGACGAAATTAAAACAGAAGTGTATGAAAAAACATTTCGTCATTACTCTTACCTTATTAATAATAAGTAACCTTATAGAAAAAACTAACTTTCCGTCCGGGTAGAAAAGAGCGAATTTGTGTTGACGAGACATAAAGCCAGCTTCGAGATCACGCAGTTTAATGCCATCCAATGGCAGCATATATTTCTTCTCCTTCTCCTGTAAATAAAATAATCTGACGAACTGCAAATAATGATGCTAACGTTATGACGGATGATAACAACAACAATGTAATCATCATACAATTCCAACCTCATCATCTTTATACCACGATAAACTGTCAGATGTCAGTACAAACCAACAATCTTTAGATCCACGCACGAATGAAATATTATGTACTGACAACCATCCCTTACGTATCACTTGATTACCCAAATTCTTCTTCGTTTGCAATGAAGATGCTTTCGCTTCGGCACTCAAAATTCATGCATATATTTGAATCAGTTAAATGATTCTGAGAAGTGCACTCATTTCTACTGATTTAAAACAATGAAAAAGTAGAACTCATAGACAACCGAATACCGAATGTGAATAGCAATTGCTTCAGGTTATCAGATCCATCAGAGTTTCACTCACCATTCAACCGATTAAAAATGAGTGTATTCCTCCTTTTAAATGAGCAAATAAATCAACCTTTGCAGGAAAACACTGAAATCGACACAGACAAATAACGAATCAACTGACAACTTACTTTGAGAAACCGATGAAATCTTCGTGATTTGTGTTCATATAAGCCAATTCATAATCCACTAACATCGAGATTTGATATTTAGCTGCTTGTTCTTTTTCACGCATATTCGTTGTTACAATCCGTTCAATTTCATCTCTTAATCGTGGATATCTGGCTACCTAAAACTATTACTATTCACATTCACCATTATAGCAATGCACTCTTTCTATCAGCACTTCCCACATTTTGAAAAGCAAACGAATTATCAGTGCATATATCAGATAGTGGTTGTTTCGTCAATCGCAGTGAGCGATCGGCGGAATATTTATTTTATTAGAGTAATGATTATTTATTGAATTGGTATTTGACTGCGTTTAATTATGCAAAGTATTCACGGCGACTAATTATTTACTCGGTTTTGTTCGGTTGGCCTGCTCGCCTAGCCAGCGGGGTGGCGTAAATTGAGGCTAAAACAATGTGCACGGAAACGTGAGCATTGTGGCCAGCAACGTTATAAACGTTTGATAGCCTGGCCGATCCAGGTAATATCTGATATTATCTTATATTACCTGGATCCAGGTAATCCAGGTAATATCAGATATTCTAGGAATGCACTTTTAAACTCAATCTCAACTGCATCGAAGGCCGTTCGGTTATTCACGTTCTGATGATAAATCATAATACTTACTGCAGTGCATTAATGACAGAAAATAATAGTGATAAGACTGATAAACAAGAAGGACGAACACATTCGGCGCATTGTCTGATAACATTCGAAAGTTCATTAACAACTAAATCAACGCATTTTAACGACGGCTCTTTTAGTCTTTCGATTTGTTTTTTCACAATCGCCTCGAATGCCATATCTGGCGTAAACAGTCCAACACGAATACCGTGGATATTGCGAATTGCGATTTGAATTTCTCTTCGCATCTCCTTAATCAAATCATCATTAGTCCACTTCGGATCATACTGTTTGATTTATGAAAATACATTTTTGATGAATAATTTTGCCAAGTAGGTTAAGATTCACTTTTGATTTGATAATAGCGCATGCAAAAGCAGTGATCAACATAACCTTTCAAACACTCTTATCGCGCGCTTCTCAAATTCAACGCTTTCTCATTGTCAGACAGCAAACGATACAATTAATCACCTTCTCGTCAATTTCCATCTTGACAATCTCGAATGGGAATCGTTCGTGGAAAAGACGATTGATGCGTGCACCACCAGACAATTCGTTTGTGCTCACTGATTTACCCGACGATCCTTCGATGGAACGCTCGATATCGGTTGAAAATTGTTGCACCATCCTGTGAACATCATTTCGCATCATTCACGTTCGCATCGACATCTCTGTCAGTTGCGCAATCAGAACATCAATTTCTTTCCATTTTCAAACACTCATAAGGAATATTCTTCGAGCACTTCTCCAACGAAAAAAAAAAAACAAAATACAATGACCAAATCAATTAATTAATGACCTTTCGTGCTATTTCCTGTAAAGTAACAGCGTACGATAGCATTCAAGGCAACAAAGCTATCCTTTCAACCTCTCTGAGTGAGTAAGCTGAAGGAATACAACAAAAGAACGTTCGTTACAAGTATCCGAAAATGGAAAATTCCTAAAGATATTGAAATATGCTTATCAATAGCTGTAAATGACAAGAAAAATCATTCAACATACTGCATAAGTGCTTTGGTTTTTCTCGATGGATCGTTCGGCTGAAAATTTTTATACTCGGCAACGTCCTTCTCTAGTGCGAACATTTTCTTCTGCAGTGAATCCCTTAATGCCGGTAATGTATCTCGAATGTGATTTGTTAACTGTTGGTTCAACGTCTTTTGCAGATAGGGTGTACCGAGACGATCGGCCATATGTCTGTAATCGTCAATAAAGGCTTATTTGAAAAATTGCAGCGGCATCACTTCTCACTATTCATCACTCTTAACAAATCTTCATTCATTTCGATTGAAATTTTTCGTTGATGTTTCAAGATGATCAATTTGTGCAATGTTTAGAAATACAGAAAAAACAAGGAAACATTCCAGCAGATCAAATTTTGGAGTTTACGACATCATTACGCCTATGACCAAAGTCGAGTTCGGTAGTGAGATATTCAGCACGTTTGAAATGAAATCCAGTTCCTTATTACTCATCAATTACTTAAGAGTTTCATTACTCCATCCCATGAAATTCTTCTGATGATGGTATGTTTCACGCTCTGCACCTCATAAAATTTTTAACTACTGAGCAATTATCGTAACCAAAAGAAAAGCAACCTTAAGCATCAAAGTGTTCTTCGAGAACATCCACACGTTTCGTTAACATTCTTTCAAATAAACGAAATTATGAATCTTTATGAATAAACGAATTATGAATAAATTATTTTTCTTTATGAATCATAAATAAACGAAATTATGAATGTGGTTAGAAAAGCGCTCAAGACTAACCGATAAGATGGATGTGAAATAAAAAACTTTCGTTCTGCATCTAAAGCGGCTCGAATATCTTTTTTACCAACAATATCCTTCTGACCACGATTCACAACACCAACATATCCTATAAAATTCAATCGCTAACACACAGGAAATATCTTTCTTCAATTCGCCAACTGAGTCATTTGCAAGAAATAAATTGCTCTCCCGATCAGCTTCACAAATGATTCAATTGTATGAGTAAGCATAAATTCGAAGCAATCAGATACCTCTGCGAAGACTGAAAAGTCGGTTTTCCAGTATTTCCCGAGCATCTGTGCCTTCATCCATGAGATCAAGCTTTGTGAGTACACCAATCGTTCGTAAACCTTGAGGATCAACCTGAAACAAATTACTTCTCCAAACTCGTTCTTTAAGGAAACGTTCTAAAAGAAAAGAAGAATGTGTTTTTTTGTGCTGACACAGGTACATAGATCAAAAATAACAGTTTGAACCTGACGAAGAACCAAACATTCCCACACATGGTTCAATGAATATTTGTGAATCAGAGCACTGAATGCGAAATAACGATGATGGTTCGGAGTATTATACATTCCCCTTCGAAAACCAACCTCTCTGGCGAGCTTCAGAGCGTCCGATGTCGCAAGATCACTATTTGCAGGAGTAACTGCCAAAATAAGACATGTTTCACGCGAAATATATGTCATTAGCATTTCACGTATTTGATGTTCGATATCAGGTGGCTGATCTCCAATCGGTACTTTGGTAAGACCAGGCAAGTCGATCAAAGTTAAATTCAGAACTGAAATCAATCGAAATTATTTCCATTAGACAAATACGAATAACTGCAATAAACAAAGAATATTATTCATTATTATCAATTATCATACTTATCAATTATTACTTGGACATCGAATGGCTGTTTCGTCGATCGCAGTGAGCGATCGGCGGAATATTTATTTTATTAGAGTAAAGATTATTTACTGAATTGGTATTTGACTGCGTTTAATTACGCAAAGTATTCGCGGCGACTAATTATTTACTCGGTTGTGTTCGGTTGGCCTACTCGCCTTGCCAGCGGGGTGACGTAAATTGAGGCTAAAATAATGCGCACGGAAACGCGAGCATTGTGGCCAGCAACGTTATAAACGTTTGATAGCCTGGCCGATCCAGGTAATCCAAGTATTATTCATTATTAAATGAGACAACATTTCATTTCAGCTATGACTTTATAAAACAAATATAATGAATGAGGCAACCAAACTGACCTCATTCAACCATAGCTAAATTGTCGTAAATCAAAAAACAAGCACATTTTACTTACACAATCACGTACCATTAGGACTGAAAACACGCAAATTGATTGGTATAGGCGATATGCCTTTATTCTGACCAGTAACTCGATCCGTTTCATCTTCGATTTCCTTCCTGACCATATCGAAATCCGTGAATTTCTGTCCCTTCTTATGCAAAAACTCAGCGTACTCTGAAACTTCATCTTTTGACAACAGCTATCAGGTTACGTCCGCAGTAATCTAATAAAGTACACAAACAATTTGTGGTTCTTTAATGACAACTGAGAAGATGAAACATCGCTGTAAGATGATAACCCTAACAATCAAAAATAACAGATGATCTCCAAACTTAAATTCAGAACTGAATATCTATCCTCGTGATCTTTCATTCGTATGTATCAATCTTTCGTATGAAATGGAGACGAAAGGTTGATAGATACGAATAAAAGCAACCTAACAACAATTTGACATTCACGAAACAAACCATTTCTATCTTGAACCAGCTGTAAAATAAGTGGACGTCTAGTGACGATGCCTGAACCACGAGGCAAAAAATCTCTGAAAAAATTAAAATTACTTCGCACATATAATTGGACTGATCAACAAAATGAAGTATTTCTGTGCAAATAAATGTACGCAGATGTGATGATTATCAAGAAATCATTTCACTATCGCAGTATCTTTTCCAGCAAAACATCTACAGTAAAAGTGTCCGGACAATAGACGGAGTATCTTTTACCACAGACAATGACGTCCAAATTGAGGATTTGGCTCGAAATTTTATTCTTTTTAGAATGAGTATTAATGAGTAGTGCTTGAAGGTTGCCGGTTTAGAGAAATATTGTATGCTAAGGGGTGAAAACAACTCCATCCACCCAGCTGAATTACTAAATTAACCAAGAGCAATCTTCAAAAAAATATTTACTGAACCCTTTAAGGAACGAAAATGAGAACAGCTTCGAACCGACTGGTCCCCTGACTATTCAAAACGATATTGTATTGCTGCTGTGCTATGCCAAACAACACACTTCCCACAGTATCGATATCCTTCACCATTGTCTAATCATAAGCCCTTTCAATCCTCCTTCTTATTTGAATAAATTCAACGAATACCTTGTTCGAAAGTGCTCATTCAAATCACATGTGTGCCTTTATGTGTTCAAATTCATTTTTTTGTTCAAACATTCAGATTTTAAATTCAAATGTTCAGCTTCACTCAGTTTATTTGTCTCCTTAACACTCTACAACGTTTCTGTTTGTCCTTTGAATAATTTGAAAAATTCAGTATCCTTTGTCAGCTTTTGACGTTATTGAATGGCTATTTAAAATGGAAACGAAAGATTGATGCGTTCGGATAATAACATGAGAAAAATAGTTGCTGCAGTCAATAAGTGTTTGTTTGTTGGTTAAATCCAGTTCGCATGCGTCAGTTAATTCAACAACTCGACTCTCTCCCTCGATCCACATCCGTCGTCGCCACAAGAAAAACGTCAATAAATTTCAGCCTCAACTCAATCCAAAAACAGAGTATATTATGTGCGTTATGCATTATGCATCAGCCAATCACGATCGCTCGCTCAATTCGTCTATCTCTTCAGCTGTTTCCAACACGAACAACAACTGAACGGATTGGATATCTTCTCAGAGATTATGCATCCAACGTCGAAGCAGCTGATGAAGCATTTGTTCAGTGCACAGTTAGCATTTTTGACTGTGTCACCGTTGATCAATGAAAGAAAAAAAAGACTGATGAAAACGAAAAGTGAAATTCCAAACGGGAGTGAAATATGACTAATAAATCCTTTGATTTGATTCTCCACTTCTAAACAAACCAGTAAGCTGATTTCATGCGTCCGGACAAGAAATATTGCGTACGCTTTCACACAACATAATCAGATCTTTTCAAAGCAACGCAAAAAAGAGAAATCAATTAGTAACTTTCTCAATCTAAATCACCAAAGTTCAATTAGCAATGGTACCAAATCAAGCGGAAGATCCGACTCGCTCAACAATTTGCGATGAAATTTTCAACTTACTTTCCAACGAAATTCTCGAGCACCGACGATTTGCCTGCACTCTGACCACCGATGACTGCGATTTGTGGCAAGTCGAAATTCAACGACGTTCCCAGTTGTGCGAATGCATCCTTAAATGAGAAAAGTCTTTGACAGCTGACGAATCCACTTATAGAAGATAAAGAAAGTGCAAGCAAGAGACGAGTAAAACGTCATTATTAAATAAATGCAATCACTCAAATTCTACGCGAATGAATAATCGCACAACCCTTTTACTCATTCAGCACCTTCTCTAACTTTTCACATCGAATCTATCACATCTAAAAAATTCATGCATCCTTCATTAGCCGTCAAATATCAAATTACCATTCACCAATATCAAATATACTCATTTTATTAGATTACCGTAAGCCCAACAATTAGATTACCGTACGACTCCTTCCAAGTGCTCTTTGCGATGCATACGCTGAAAACTCGCAGTTTCTTTTTCCTCAGTATCCTCACAATGTGCTTACCCTTCAAATTCGGATCTCGGCTCAGCTAGAAATTTGAGTACCAGCCGTGATCAAGAAACAATTCAATACGATAAGCAATACAGCTTAACAAACGCTGCGAAATTTCGAATTGTGGACAGAAAACAGCTAATAGGAAGTAATGTTCAAAGATGTTTCCGGTTGAGCTTCAAGGTTTCGATCCGATAAATGAAAAGTGCCTACTCATCTTCATAATCACCGATTCAGTTGGTATCTTACATTTCAATAATCATCACTACTGATCGGCATAACTTCGTTATCGTTATCGAACTTGTAAGCATCGTATGCACTCTTCACTTATGACTGATTTGCTATTCGCTTCAGCAACTCCTCAGTGCACAACTACGTCAGTCGACAACCATTTCACACCTCACTTAACTCGTAACCCACAAAAATGAGTTTTCACTTGTCAATAATCACTGACAAATGAACTTCCCAATCATTTATGGTCAAAATTTGAGCAAAACCGAAAAGCAAGTTAAGTCATAACCACATAAACTGAGATCATGCTGGGAAGAGGAAGGGAGACCCATTATTTACTACTGACCGAGCGTTTTCGTATTGATTAGCTTCAACTTATTCCTATTTCAATAAATCCAGAAAACCTGGTTATCCTATGACGTACACAAGCTTCATGAATTCCTGAAGTCATCCATCTCGCAATCTTTCGAAACTTCTAGCCAACAACAACTTTTTTCATCTCTATATTTCCATTCGCACGTCATAAATAGTACACAAATATTTCAAATCGATACAATGTGATGAAATTATATATCATTTGAATGTTTGAATTATAACAAATGATGACAGTGTAATTCGAGAGAATCATCTGAATATATAAACAATAACACTGAACAACAGAATTCATTCTATACATTTGCAGAACTCATGCGTGCACTCAGGTGTTTCCACTGTAAACATTCAGTTATCAATTTCAGTGTATTTCTCGAATCCATTATGACCAGTGATGAGGTAGTAACCTTTAGGCTCTCATGGTGTTCATTGAGTCTAGAGAACGACAAACAAATGAAATAATCTATTCGAATAAGTTCGAATGATGTGTGAAATTGAAGTTAGTGATGGATACAAAAATACTGCGTTTAGCAGAAGATGATTTGTTGAGACTGAATTATGGAGAAAAGCAAAAAATGCTTGAACATGGAAGCATTTACATTCGTTTTCAACTCACTTACAAAAACTCCACATAATGTGTAAACAACATCTTGCATACTTCGCATTACTCATCTATGAATATGTATGTTGTTACATACAAATGTTCAACTAGGAATTAAAGTGAACAAGATGAACGAGAATGAATATGCATATCTGAAAACCAATAAGAACGACCTCATTAATTACTTTTCAGCAAACGATGTTTCAGAATAGACTATTTACAAGCACTAAACATTACAAGCAATCATCAAACACTAGCTGCAAATAAATCCATTCACTCGTTGTCTCCACGCTACATTCTCAACCTTCCAGTACAGTTGCTCTTTTCTGCGGGCAACAATCAATGCTGAACATGTTTTGACGGTTGCATTTTGATATGTTCTATTTTGATAAGAAACGTCAAACGCTACTGTCTTATTGGAGAATACTCAAATAAATCTTAGCGTTCCATCTCACGAACGCGTTCAGATTATCAAAATTTTCACCTAATATAACTCATTCTCTGGACCACTCAATTCGATTTCATCATGAGATGACCACTTCTCATTTTGATCAACAATCGAGTCAACTAAATAACGGCTAACTGTCTGAAAATTACTGAGTACCCCTTTTAATAAGAAAAGAAAAACTGAAGCAGGTGAAGCGGAGTATATATACGATTTTGGATTGTTCATAGAAGTGCTCCCAATCCCTCCCGACTGACGAAATGGAATGGGATTTCATCGAATGGATGTTTTGATCGTGAACTCATGATAAATGCAAAATTCCGAATGGATATAATCGACTGAGCTCCTAAGCATCGCATTCAGTGACCCAAATGATGCTGTAGAAAGCAATTTCTCACACATACGGATATGAATGAAGTTAGTAATCGCAAAGGATAATAGTCATTCGTGAACTGATGAAGTTTTCAATGTGGCCTCAACACTCAGCGTTTTCAATTAAAAAGAAAGTCACTAAGAAATAAGATTTCCCAGGCGACGGAAACTTTCAATGCGAAGATGTTTTTTTTTGCAGGCAATATGTTCTGGATAATAACCTTGACATACTTGATTCAATACAAATCATAACAGTACGACTAATGAGAAGCTACACGAAACAGTGAGATAGATAACTGGAAGAAAGAATGCAATCACGAAGTAAACATAGTGAATAAATGGTGAATTAATTTTAAAAGAAAAAATAACCTGTAATCGATTAACAATCGGTATGAGGGCTTGCATGCCCGAATTAGCCCAAGACATTTTGCAAATGGATCCAGTATGAATTGAGTTTGATGACGCTCACTTCAGTTCATATACACACCACAAACACGATATGAAATAATATGCAACCACTCGATATGATTGATTGTTTGTAATCAGCGAATAAACAGTCGAATGAAGCAATACAAATGAGATACCGCTGGATTATTTAGATTAATTAAAACGAACGCTATTCAATCCTCTGAAAATTATCGTTGCATTCAATCGCGTTTCCACCTAAACGTAATACCATAGCAACGTCAAGCCGAGCAACAAATTAACCATCAAAAGGCAAAACGCAAAAACAAAGCATCAAGCAAAAATTGTACTCTTTGTAGAGCTTCAAACGCATGTACGAGTAAACGGCCGATATACGAATTTTGAAAATATGCTTCGAATGAAATCCGATCTGCACTCAAGAAGACTATGCCTACATAAAGTAAACACTTCGCCTTTTTTTTACCAACAAGCATTCTGGCAAATCTTCGAAAAATTCAAATAATAATGTGAATCGTTTCTCAATTTCCATTTTTCAAAGTTCTCTTTGAATCCGACCAAATACACCAGCAGTCCCTGCAGATCGTTAAAAAATGATAATTTTAATTACTCACGAGTGATCACTCTTCAAAATTCACTTCTGCAATTTACATTTCTCATTCAATTCTTTGCAGTAATCGCACTGTAAATGACAGGAAGAAGGAAACTCTTTACTGAAGTGAATGCAAAATGACGGAATGAAGATGAAATTTTCATTTCCACGCATCTGCGCAATTCAAGCAACTATATTGTAGTCAGCCATATTTTATGCGAACCAAAAAATCGATCAGCACAAACTCAAAACAAAGACGCCTCTATAAACAAAAGACTTAAGAATCCACTCGGAGAACCAGAAATAATGAAACATGTCTGGCAAAGCAAACAATCACGTTGCAAATGCATTCATTCGTGCATATAAATCAATACGTTTTCCTCAGCAAATTTTTTTTCTGTTTATACCCATCAATACGGTTTGTCCAATTCAATGAGTCAGTAACAATTAGGAAACAGTGTGATTCAGAATGGTCTGATTGCAAAACAAATTAATCACGGTACTGATCATGATACTCAGATTCTTTTAGAAGTTACATTTGATATTTCGAAATTATTTCCGCTGATTGAAAAACGCAAAAAAATGAGCTGGTAGCATGATAATACGGCGAACTCATTTTAAATACACCACTTCTTTTGATCTGTTCTTGTAGCGTTGTCCATTGATCATCGCAGCTGCCTACGATAAAAACCAACGATTAATCGGAATCATCAAGTTGAACAAATAAATGATCACAGATGGATGGTGTGATGATATTAATTACGAAGAATGGAATGTGGGATTCACATAACTAAGTAAGTAAAAGAAGGTAATCAAAACAAACCAAGATAAGCTCATAACGGATGACGACTATAAAAGCGAAGTGAAATATGAAGGAGGAGTGATAAAACGAGAGGATGAGAATGGGTGGATAAGTTGAGTGGATAGGATATGCAGATTGCTGCTGAGTGATGATAAAGGAATGTGAGCACATTCAATCATGGCAGTGGGCCGGTTCGTTCGATCATGCATAATACTGAAAGAAAGGGTCGTCGATAGCATGCATGATGACGATGCACACGAGACAAGACACCCGGCTGGCCGCTATCTCTGCATCTCTTCTCTCAATCACTTAATCGAATCTAACAAGCGAATAAGAAAATGACATATGATGAACAATGAACAGAGCGATAAGCACACAAAGAAATAGCGAGATATGATCAGATTCGAATCGCGAAACCCATTCAGCTAACTCGCTGCATGCACACACAAGTAATCAGTCAAACCAAATAAATATGAATATACGTATGACACAGATATGAAATCAATAAATAGATATGATGCATCTCAATAGAGACATGCAGAAGTGAGTACGTAACTTGTAGAATACCTACTTAGAGCACTACGTTTATCGTCTGTGTATTTGTCTGCCTGTTTCATGCATTCCACTTCGAACTGAGCATTACACGGCTTTCTTCATTCAATTGCAAAGGAACACCACTGAGCATCGTGTCTCTCTCATTCTTATCTTCAAACAGGGTGTAGCACGGCCAGCATTTTTAAAGGGTAGGGGCACAAAACGGTCTGGTCCAAAAATAACTAAATTTTGGAGTGTATTTTTCCAAAAAAAAANAAAAAAAAAGCTACTTAGGTGCTTATTTTTTCTTCATCCACTCTCCCCACCCTTTTTTGGCTGCACGGCATGGAAGTTCACCGAAAAGTTAGCAGCAAGATATAAAGAGCTATGATTTATTATTTTTGCTATCTAATATTTAACATTATTGCGTCATAAATTAAGCTCCATGCAAGATATGCAGAATAATGTTATCGTAAACAAAAAAAGTAAAGCAATGCGTCATTCATCGAGGTTGCGTCTTCGCAAAGGCGTAACCGGAATGTTGGAAAAATGAAGAGTAAGGCATCGGAGTGGAAAGCGGTACTGATT